TTACTCTGCTCAGCACCATCATAACCCAATCAATGATGTCTTTCGTCAGCGCTATCGTCGTCCTGTTATCTCTGTTTGTCTGGGCTGGCGGTCAAATGATTCAACATCCGCCCGAGGGTGACTATCCTCCGGGTTATTCGTGATCTGTCATTCATTCGGTTCTGCTCAGTCGCATCGGGAAAAGTCGAGCCGTTTCAGAGCGAGCTACAGCAGAGCGAAATGAGCAGCACAATTTCCCTGGGCCGCGACAGCGCTCTTTGCCATCCGAATGTCAAGCAAGTACACGGTTATTTCAGTGGTAGTTCTGGGAGAAGGTGAGCGTCTCTCGATCGTTATTATCACACATGAGGAGTCGTACTAGGCTATTCTGCTGGCTCTTTGAATCAAAGAGCCTGGGCTCTAGGCAATGTCCGCCGGACATTCTGGCATGATTCTGCCGCATCCTCAATGAGGAGCCTCTACCAGGTCTTGTTCACAGGGGAGCCATGTGGACCTTGAGTTATAGCAGCAGATTGTGACTTCGAATTCAACACACTCCAGGCCTCGAATGTGAAACGATGCAGAGCAAACGGGTGAGGAGGAATCTCGTGAAATGTGGCTTGAGAATCTACTTACATGACAGGAAAGACGAAAAAACCGACATTCGCTATCTGGAAACATCATAACCATCGATTCTGCTGTATAAGAAGATTTCTCACCGTCGAAATAGGGAAGTTACTTGGTACACACAGACGAGCAAGTACTCAGTGGAAGTTGATAACTGAACCGCACCGCCCTGACGGTTGGAGCTAGATTTTGAGCTAGAGCTCCGCCTCGCCGCATTCGCTCCCAGGGAATGGACCGGGAACGCCATCGATAAAATCGTAGATCATAAGATAAGCCGCTTCTGGCTGGTCGAGGGGGACGAAATGGCCAGCTTGGTATACCTATAGGGATAGTGTTGTGGCGTATTGAATACTTCGTACTTGGAGGAAGCCTAGCATTCCCCTTCTCTTCCAAGTGATACTGCGAAGTGAACCAACGGGGACACTGAAGCGTCCCTGAAAAGACGAATCCCTCGAACAACGTAGGACTCGAAGATTGCCAGCAGAAAAATTTGCATCGAATCTTCCGGCCAACAGCGTACACACCTACGCCATATTCATAACGCGGAGCTCTGAGGAATGCAGCACGGCCTGGCCAATCCATCGCATCCGCCACATGCTCGAAACCAATCCAATTGCATATGTAGTCTTGATCTCCGGCATATAGAAGAACCTTACCAAAACTGAGTCGAATCCAAATGAGCCTCTACAATTCCAAGAGTCGCATTGTTGCAACGAAGATATCCTAAGTTAGGATTCCTAACTCAATGCTGGGCGCAAAGCTACGCTTAAGCGCGAACAGTCCGTGGTTGTAATTAGTGCACTTAGCACTCTCATATTGCTTTCAGTCATTAGTCAGTAGTACATCACTATACACATAGTATAGCAGATATATATCACTCAATCGTATTGAACTGCCAGGTCAAGGTCAGCAATAGTGGACAATGGATGACTGTGTGTCAGAACTGTGCATAACTTGAGACTCAAGTTACACTGTAACTCACCCTGATCTCGGCGTCTAGCAAGTCGGGTAGAAGTGAGTCGAAGGGTGTTATGCGATCCAGCGAAAAATCTCCAACCTAACTTTAAATCTCTGATCAAGTCAAAACCAAAACTCATAGGGTTTCCTCACGTCTGAACAGGTTGAGAATTTCTTGTCGACTCCGAGTCTCCTTTGTATGTCTTTTCGGTTGAGATAGATCTCCAACTGAAAGGAGACACGCGAGCTCCAAACTCAGATAGACACGGGAGGGGCTGCGCTCCTCGCCGCACAACGAGCAACCCACTGGATCTTGTTCGACTGAACCTTTATTCTTGTTCGTGATTCTCAAGTTATATCTGAAATGCAGCGAGCTGCTCACACCGTCATGAACATTATTAGAGGATCCGAGCACAATTCAGGACATAAGTTACGACGTACATGCTGATGTTTCGCTTATGTAATGGAAGCAGAGGGGCGTTGAAATTGCAGAGCATATTGGACGCGCAGGTCGTATCTGAGAAAAGAGTTACTTCGACGAGCATGTTCCCCTTTCCATGCGTATGAACCGAATCATTCGGTCCGAACGAGAGATGAGTTTCGATGAGCGCCGTGCGTTTAATGCAATGAAATGAGCTAGAGGCTCTAACTTAGAGCAACTGAACCTAAGAAGTCGGTGTAGTTAGCCCTCCCGGAGAGGACCTCCTTCGTTATCGCCAGTCAAGCAGCTTGCTATGTTTTTCGAGCATTCCTCAACGGCTTTACTCATCGTCAAATATCTGACGGTAATCATCCACAGGTAACTACGTGTTATTCTCGTACTCTTTGTGCGTTATGCTATTTGGAGCCGTACAGCTGTTGAATGCCATCGCTGGGTAGTCGCGGACTCTGAAAGTAGAAGCAAAACTTCATGACGTCCCCATTGCAGAAGCATACTGGATTGCAGCATTCATCCATCCATTCCCGATTGCCAGTCCACGAAGGTTGATATGAGGCTCGATCCCTTTAGTGTTCTCACGCCATATCTTATGAGCTATGGCTGGTATGTAGTGACCTGAGTAGTTGGGATGATATTTCAGTAATATGTCACGGTTACCAGCATAGTCCTCCCCGGTAATGTAGAAATCTTTGCCTCCATACTTGGTATGTTTAGCGAAGAACTCTTGTAGGGCCATGTACCTTCGAAAAGAGGCTTCCAAACACGTACATAATACGATAGGCATCTTGTAGATTGTACAAGCGCCCTCCTCAAGTTCTACAAGTCGTCGGCAGCCTCAAATGAGCCATTGGTAACGGGCGGTCCAACCGAGAATCCTGTTCCTGCAGGTTGGTCGACATAAAGAAGGTTGGCTCGTTCGTTCCAAGACCAGCTGACAGTCAACATGCTCCAACCCGGTAAATGAGTGAGAAGTGTCACTCGCTGTAATCAGTATCATTGAATCTGCAAGGTCCATTCTCCTTGAAGAGTCCTATCATGCTGCTGCAGCCAGGCCCCCCGTTGAGCCAGAGAATGAGAGGGTCTTGAGCTGGGTCGGACCGAGATTCAAAGAGCCAGAAGAATAGCCTAGTACGACTCCTCATGTGTGATAATAACGATCGAGAGACGCTCACCTTCTCCCAGAACTACCACTGAAATAACCGTATACTTGCTTGACATTCGGATGGCAAAGAGCGCTGTCGCGGCCCAGGGAAATTGTGCTGCTCATTTCGCTCTGCTGTAGCTCGGTCTGGAACGGCTCGACTTTTCCCGATGCGACTGAGCAGAACCGAATGAATGACAGATCACAAATAACCCGGAGGATAGTCACCCTCGGGCGGATGTTGAATCATTTGACCGCCAGCCCAGACAAACAGAGATAACAGGACGACGATAGCGCTGACGAAAGACATCATTGATTGGGTTATGATGGTGCTGAGCAGAGTAATGTGGCACGGAATGGGCAGACTGAGGCCTCTTCAGTAGACCCAGCAGACTCTCCTGAACTACGGTCAATGAGCCACGCTTATAGAATAGCACTATGCTGCGGAGTCACTGGCCGATTCGAGAAAAGAATTCTGCAAAGGTGGCTCTTCTCCGCGTCTTGCACTACCGCGCGTGGGTTATTCGATGGAGCTCGTTCGCGTTCCAGATAGCGAAAGCTCCGCCGCGGAACTCGGTTATGTCTCACCTTATGGGAGTCTGCTACATCGCATCTGATGCCTCCGCGATGCGGAGGACATGTACTCCGCGCAGCATACATCCTCATCATGGGGGCGACATGACTTGAGGACCTCATGTCCAGGTCCATCAATCCGAGGCGTCCGGAGTGCCTGCGTGCTCTACAAGAAGCTCACAGAGCATGGACACAGTGGACAACAGCACATCCTCAATCACTGAATTCGGAGAGCATATCCACGAGTGGTACATATGGCTCTGTTACTCGTAAGAAAACTATTGTTGTAGAATCGGTGTTGAAACCGTGATGTGCCACTGCGCCATCAGCATCTGTCTCCTCCAATATCTCTGTCTCTGGAACGCTTGCTCCTGATCGGCTACTCGCTTGAAGCAGAATGCCTGATATGGCAAACTCCTCAAAAGCTTGAACAGGATGAAATCTTGTATTCCTCCGTTTCTTCACCATCGTGAGTTGGGAATAAAGCTTACAAGATGCAACAGGTCAATGATAGCTCCGTATTTTCGATGTCTAGCTCACCTTGAACTTTATCACGATTCTATCAATTTTCATGGCTGCGCAGTATTGCGGGGTTCCGTCCTGTACTGCAGGTCGCATGGAATCATTATTTCAGGTGTCCAGCTACTTACGCATATGTTGCGTTTACCTAGCTAGGTGAACGCAACATATGCGTATAACATAGCCTAACGTAAGCTAGGGTATGATGAGTTATAGTATACTTTGTAAGGATGATCGCCGAGCCGGAAGTGGACGGTGACAAATCATGAACTTCATAACATCAAGTTCATGATTTGTCACGAGGTCTGCATGACATGAAAAGATTCAAAATAATGCCGTGTGCGAGATACGCTCCCCTACAGGGCTACTTAACCCGTCAAGTGCGACTAGATTGGCACGCTAGTAGGACGATACGAGCCATATCATGTAGCAGCATTATCGCCCTATGGTGCATAACACAAACTAAAATGGTAGGTTCCCTCCATTCGTTGATGGATCACCAAAAATGAGGGAGAGAGAACGTGAGAGACGGTTGGAACAAGCAATGGTGGTTGACCAGGTTGCGCGGTGGGAGAAAGAAGAGATCCTCTCCTCTCTGTCTATCTTATCTTACGATAGTTAGACAGAATCGGGAAAGTATCGAAAATTTGAGGTTGCTTCTCGTTGGACAACGAATAGCAGCATAGAACCTGGGCGAAAGCATAAGGTCGACGAGCCGATGGCAATGTTTACGAGTGTTCTGTACTAGAGGGCCTTTGACCAGCGGAACACGCGGGCGACGAAGTAGACGACGGGTTTAACGCGCACGAGCTCCTTCGAATTAGCCACGCACGCTTGCACAAGATGCAGAAAAGAGCCATCTTCTCGGAGAATCCTTTTCTCGAATCGATCAGGAACTGAACAGAGGAGCGCTATCCTTAGTTCTACATTAGCGTGGCTCATTGATAGCGAGGAGACGTAGCTCAGCAGGCTATGCTGTGCCGAATGATAAGGCCTCAGTCAGCCCAACAATCTACCCGTGCCACATTCCCCTGTTCAGCATCATCATATCCCATACTCAATCATCGATGCCTTACGTCGGTTCCATCGTTATCCTGCTAGCTCTGATTGCCTGGGCTGGCGGTCGAATGATCCATCAACCACCTAACAGTAAGTGTCCTCCGTCTCTCCGGTAATCTACCCATCCCTCCGTTTCTGCTCAGTCACATCGGAGAAAATCAAGCCGCTCCAGACGGAGCTCCGCGCCAGTGCTCTGTGCGATCCCAGTGTTAAGCAAGTACACGGTTACCTTAATGGCAATTCTGGAAGAAGGTGAGCGCCTCTTGATAGTCATTATCACACACGTGGATTCGTACTAGGCTATTCTTTTGGTTCTTTGAATCTCGCTCCGACCCAGTTCGAGACCCCGTCATTCTCTGGCTCAACGGGGGGCCCAACCAGGGCAGGCCGAGCCGACCGGTTGGCTGCAGCAGCATGTTAGGACTCTTCACAGAGAATGGACCTTGCAGAGTAAATGAATACGGGAATGGCACTACACTCAACCGGTGAGGAGCGCTGGTTTCCCTGATAGAAATATGCTGACTATCAGATATTCTTGGAATACGCGAGCCAACCTCCTTTATGTTGATCAACCTGCGGGAACAGGATTCTCAACTGGACCGCAAGTGACCAATGGTTCATTTGAAGCTGCCGAAGACTTGTAGGACTTGAAATGCCCATCATATCATTAATATGTATGCAAGACTATGCTGGAAGGTACATGGCCCTACAGGAATTCTTCGCTGAATATACCCAGTATGGAGGCAAAGATTTCTACATCACCGGGGAGTCATATGCTGGTAACCGTGACAGATTACCGGAATATCATCCTAACTACTCAGGTCACTACATACCTGCCATAGCTCATAAAATATGGCGTGAGAACACTAAAGGGATCGAGCCTCATATCAACCTTCGTGGACTGGCAATCGGGAATGGATGGATGAATGCTGCAATCCAGTATGCTTCTGCAATGGGGACGTCATGAGATCATTCTACTTCTCCCAGAGTCCTCGACTACCCAGCGATGGCCTTTCACAGCTGTACTGCTCGAAGCGTCATCGCGTACAATGAGTATGACATTGTCATAATGACAATAACACACAGTTGCTCGTGGATGATTCTTGTTAGGTTTTTGGGGAGGAGTAGAGACGCTAAGCGGTGCTCGAGGTTTATAACACGTTGCGTCGTTATCAAGAACATGACTGGTCCTCTCTGGGAGCGTCGCCTACCATTATGATTTGAGTTCCATCGGCACTCCAGGTTTAGTTTCTCTCATTATTTTGACTGAATCATTGAAACTCATTTCTCATTCGATCCATACGCAGGGAGAGGGGAACATATTCGTTGCAGTATCTCTCGCTTTCAGATTTGCCTTGCAGTCTGGCTATGGATTGCGAGTCTCGGCCAGTCTGGGATTTAATTCTGAAAAGCATCGACAAGTGCGTCAAAAGTCGTGTTCTGAATCCTGATGGGATGCTTGAGTTATGCTGCTTTCGGTGCGAGCATCTCGCTGTATTTTAGATTCGATATGAGGAAACAAAGAGAGTATCCCCGTGGTTCTAGAATCGAGAAAAGTCCGGTGGGTTGCTTGTTGTCAGTCCAGCGGCATACCTCTTGCAGCGTTGCTATTCGCATGAGCTGAAACTCTGTGTGTCTCTGTTCAGTTGGAGATTTATCTCAACAGAGAGGACATACAAAGAGAACTTGGAGTCGACCAGGAATTCTCCACCTATTCGGACGTGAGGAATTTCTATGAGTTTTGCTCTTGATCAAACCAGATATCTCGCGTCAGGTTGGAGAATTCGATCTGGATCACTTATCACCATTTGACACACTACTGCCCGACTTGTTAGACGCCGAGATCAGGGTAAGTTAGCTCAAATCTCGAGTTAGACAGAGTTTGTTCACATACAACTAGACTAATCGACCTGCCATTGACAGGCTGCCAACCGATGTTGAACTCGACTTTCATGAGTGATGTCCATTCTGCTGCTGCCTGATGTTGTTTCATGATTGAAGCAATCCATGCCCAATATGAGAATAATACGTACAATATTCTTGGCAACGGACTTTGCTTGGACATAGCACTGATTGCTTTGTAGCCGGCATTGAGTTGGAATATCTTCGATGCATCAGTGTGACTCTTTGGATCGTGAGGTTTATCTCATTTCGAGTTAGCAGCTAACTGCTAGCTCCTCGATAAGATTCTTCTATATGCCGGAGATCAAGATTACCAATGTAACTGGATTGGTTACGAGCATGTGGCGGATGCGATGGATTGGCCAGGACGTGATGAATTCCTCAAAGCTCCCCGTTATGAATACCCAGTAGGCGTGTTCGCTGCCGATCAAGAGATGATCATTCAATGATCTGATGCATATTTTCCTGCTTCCAATCTTTCAAGCCTCAGGTTGATTCAGTGATTCAGTATGCTGAATATATTGGTTCACTCCGCAGTATCCGCTGGAAGAGAAAGGGAATGTTTGGCTTCTTCAGAGTATAAGAAACTCAACATTCTACAGCACTTCCCTTATAGGTATACCAAGCTGGCCATTTCGTACCCATCGACCAGCCACGCACGGCTCTTTTCATGATCAACGATTTCATCGATGGTACTCTCGGACCATTGCCTAGGAGAGCCGTTATGAGCGGAGGCAGTGCGGAGCTCTGACTGATAGTCCCCAACCCCGGAGGCGGTGTGTGTCGGCTCACAACCGCAACTGAGTACTGGCCCATCTGTGTGTACCAAGCAACTGTCCTATATCGGAAATGAGAAATCCTTCTTATACAGCTAAATAAATGTCTTCGATGTTTCCAGACAGGCGCAATCCATCATTTCTTCGAGAATTACTATCTCTTGCCTTTCATCTCATGTGAGTATTTTCAGAAGCCACATTTTACGAAGAAATGATTCTCACCCTTTTCCCCATCATTTTACATACGACTCGTATGATACGAGCCCTTAAATGTGTTGAATTCGGAGTTATGAGTTGGTGTCATAAGTTATCACTCGCTGCGAGGCGACTCGAGCTATGACTCAGAACTCGAGGATCTCGAGTCGAGGTCCACAAGGTTCCCCTGTGATTCACAGGCTGTGAACTTGACTCGGTGGACGCTCCTCATTGATATGCGGGACGCATCATGCAGTAGCAGAATTTGGTGCCGCATGATGCGGCCTGCATTTAATGTCGTTGGATCCATGATTTCGTCCTCAAAGGTTACGGACTCGAATTCCAGAATAATTTCTCACGACCCGCTCTCGATTCGAGTCTCGAGCGACGTCCTCGAGGCGGCTTTCCTGACAGCACGCTCCTGCAACAGGAACTTTCTGGCCCATTGCGTCTAACGCATCTGCGACGCGTAGAGTGTGAACTATGCGAAGTCAGTGAAGGCTTTACGGTGAAGTGTACATCCTCTTGGGCTGCTCCATCAATGCAAGGGCAGTCAGGTTCAAAACTACTGAGTCAGTAGTACTGACCCGCCACGTCACCCTCTACCATCACCAACGAATGTTGAGTTACCAGTTGTAGAACTCGTAGGTGCAGGGAGGGGCGGAAATGAGAATCACAACAAAGGGAAACGGCCGCTGACCACTCGTGTGTATGCCGAGTGATGCCGTTGTTGATAGTTGTTAACTTAACGAAAACTAAGGAAACACCGTCTAATCTCACGCAGAACCTAAGACTAACAACAGCTTATAAGATATAAGATCTATGGAAGTTCAAGAGTACCAGACCAGCATACTAGCTTGACACTAGATACATAGCTACATCACATGCACAGAACAACCGTGGAGGTTCTCCATTGGAAGACATTTTTTTGTGTCTTCAAGTGACTCCAACACTCTCACTTCTCGCTATCGATATCTGCTGAATCCAGCACACTCCTGCCCGTGACTAGTCACTAGGACCAGCACGTAAATTCAGGACATACTCAATAGTCTCCCTACCTTCTTCAAGTGTGACCTTTCTTTTACTATCCGTCGGAGCACTTGTTCATCTCGTACAGAGCGTCGACGCAACCACCAAACATCAGCCAACTCTCGGAGAGTTATATCTTGACCATCACGGACCTCATTCATATACGCATCAGCAGTCATATTGTCCCACGGTGGGACTCCCACCAACTTGGTGGTTCTAACGCTTCGAGAACAGCATCCTTAATTTCACGAGACTCCTGTGAAGCAAACGGGCCGGATGAAGCTTTCATATGACCACGACAAACGATAGCTGGAGAGAGTGGTGATTCGCTACTGGTGAAGAGTCGACGACGTCGACTCAACGTACGGAGGAGTATAACCGCAGCTGTTGCACGGGACAGCGGGTCTTATCAAGACTCTGAAGTGCACCACGGAGAGCAGCATGAAAATCTCGATGGCCTTGAGTTCCTCCGGGAGGAATCCTCCCCCCGAGGTGGCAATGGGATGACCATTGAATTCAAATCTTCGTGTCACCAACCACTTCGTCAATAATCCTTGGTCAAGAAGTAAAAGACCGTTTCGGACCCAAAACGCGCTGTTCTTGCAATTTGCAAAAAACTGGTGAATTGTGCCCAGACCGGGGATCGAACCTGGGGATTAT